CAACAACAATTAGGAACCGGAATGAAATTAAGATATATAATCATTTGTATAGCAACAACTGTTGATGATTGATGTTTGTCAACTAAAGTGGTAAGATGTTTCCCTCCACAAGATTGCTCGGGTTCGATCCTTGTCATTGTATTTTTTACAAATTTACTATGATCAACATATTTGCGACGACATGTAAATAAATAATTTTTATTCTTGTTCGTCGGTTTTTGAGTCCATTGTTACTCTGTTGCTATTTCACCACAAACTCATCACTAAATTAATTCGGTATATTCTGTTGTTATTGTGTTATTCTGCAGTGTTTTCCGACGGAATATTTATTGTGTTATTCCGCAGCTGGTAGTGGATCCAATCCTCAAATTTATCGTGTTAATTAAGTAGCTTCGTTTAAAATCAAGAGAACTGCTCATTGAAGTTGTCAATATATGGTTTAGGTTTGAAATGTGAGTTTTTTGTAAAAATAGGTTAGTTTTCAAAAATCATTGTAGAAATAGGTTAGTTTTAGAATGTATTGTAGAAATAGACTTCTTTTTAGTTGGGCCCACTATATTTGTCGTTCATAACGAGTTAACGACAATGATATATATATATATATATATATATATATATATATATATATATATATATATATATATATATATATATACCCCCTTAACTTTGATTGCTTTTCTATTATTTATATCTTTCATTGATTAATTCAAATTTTTACATTCATTATATATTATACATAAATAATTATTATAAAATATATAATTATAATTTATGTATTATTCTTAAGTAGTTATACCATTAAATGAATAATACAAATATCTTCAAATAGATATTAATATTAAATATATTACGTCGGAAAATTAAAAGATCAACTATAAACGATATTACATTCAAAATATACATTAAGTTAGAATTTAAATTAAACACTAAATCATAATATTCGTAATGATATTTTTATTATCGTTTATTTGTAAATATGAGAAAATCTTAATCCACAATGCCTAAAATGTATAGCATGAGTTGTCACTATTTGTGAAAACTCTATAATTATGTTATTTGTTTTTACTCAACTACAAAAGCAAAACTCTTCTGCACACTCAAATATAACTGTTGATGAAAACTCAGTAAAAGTAATTGAGTGAATCGTCAAATCAGCTCACTTTTTTTGTATTATAAATTCTCTTTCTTATAATCAATAGTTTTTCATCTCTTCCAACCTAGCTAATGAATTTCTCTTACAATTCTTGAACTTAAATCTTTCCTTTTTCTTTTTCTTCAACAATCGTTCATCCATAACAAGGTACATATTATTGGCTTTATGTCATATATTTAATAATAGTAATTATCATATGTAGCATACTCATTAATCTCTTTTTTAAATTTTGATTTATTTTGCAGTTAGATTTTGGTATATATCATTATGACTCTAGATCGTCCGTTTATGATTAATTTATACTGGGGTGGTAATATTAAATATGAGAATTGTATCATAAAGGGAGACCATTCAACTTTTTCTACTTCAAATATTGTTAGGCACAAAATGGGGTATGAAGAATTTAAAGATTTATGTTATGCACATGTTGGAGTTGAAAAAGCATCACATAAGTTGAATATCTCATTATGCTATCAATTTGGAGGGTAATCCACTATTTCACGGGTCATAAGTGATTCAAGTCTAGACGTAATGTATTATTTGGCTGAGAATGTTGCAAATTATTGGGGTCAAGTTTTAATTGAAGTTGAAAAAATAATGTCGCCTACAAGTACTAGTTTTGTAGATCTTCTTCAAAATTTTGAGGTGTTGGAGCCCAATCCATCAAATGTACCATTTCCTTTGCTTGATTGTGGTACATTTGAGGGAGATTGTGATGAAGCCAACTCATTATATAGTGAAGATACTAGTAGCGAGTCATTATGTGTTGGGGAAGATTCTGATGATGACGGTGTGTGTGAAACTCCAGTTATGAACTTTATGAGTGATGTTGGAGATATAGGAGACGGTGACATAGCCGGTTTGGAAGACCGCATTCAAATAGATGTTTGGAAGGAGTCAGAAAATAATATAAGGTTAGGAATGCAATTTGAAAGTAAGTTACAAGTAAAAAAGGCAGTGACACTTTGGTCTATCAACCAAAATAGAGAGTTCAAAGTGTATGATAGTAAGCCTAACTTGTGGGTAGCAAAGTGTAGGACTCTAGGAAATGAAGAAGAAAGTTCTGGTAGTGTGCACTGTACGCCCCGCTGTGCATGGTATGTTCGTGCAGTTAAGAAGAAAAATCAAAACATGTGGAAGATTACACGTTGGGTGGATGCACACAATTGTTTTGGATCATGTACTGGCAATAATAACAAAAATCTAAACTCTGCAACTATTGCCTTGTATATCCTCCATTCAATTGAAAAGGATGTTGCTTATCCAGTGAAACATATACAATCAGATATTAAAAATAGTCTGAATGTTGATGTTTCTTATGATAAGGCATGGCATGGTAGGCGAAAAGCCATAGAGAGTATTTATGGAACTTGGGAGAGTAACTTTGATGAGTTGCCCAAGTACATTGCAGCATTGCAGGCTTCAAATCCTGATACAGTTGTGAAGTGGTTTCATTGTCCAAATAGCTCATCATCACATGTAGCGACATTCAAATATGTTTTTTGGGCTTTTGGACCCGTCATTGATGCGTTTCGTCTATGTCGACCTGTTATTTCAGTAGATGGCTGCCATTTGAAGGGTTCATATAGAGGAAAAATGCTTGTTGCTGTCACAAAAGATGCAAACAATAGTATATTGCCTGTTGCGTATGCTATCGTTGATGAAGAGAGTTCACATAGTTGGGGTTGGTTTTTTTACCAACTCAGACATTTTGTTGTTCAAAACAGACAATTATGTGTTGTTTCAGACAGGCACAAAGGAATAATTCATGCAATGGAAAATCTACCAGAATGGCAAGAGCCATTAGCATACCATCGCTTTTGTCTTCGACACATTAGAAGTAATTTCATGCAAAAGGTATAAGAATGTGCGCCTTAAAAAGCTTTGTTGGTCTATTGGTAGCACCACACAAAGAAGAAAGTTTGGTATGTATATGAATGAAATAAAAAATATCAATCTTGAAGCTTGGCAGTATTTAAAGGAAATTAAAAGAAGCCAATGGTGTTTTTTATATGATGACAATCGTCGATGGGGTTTCTTGACAACAAATATCTCTGAGAGTCTGAACAATGCACTTCGCGGAGCAAGACAGTTACCGATCAGGGCGTGTATTCACCTTACATTCAATAGAACTGTACAACTTTTTAGAAAGTACAGTGATATTGCAATGAATTGCAATACACCTCTACCATCATGTATGTGGCGTCTCTTTCGAAAGCGAGAAACTTGTGCACAAAGCCATACATTAACCGAGTTTGACTACAGTGAAGGTGTCTACAGAATTGTCACAAAGTTACAGATAAATGGCAAAGGAGGAAATACATACACTGTCCATTATTTTCAACAAACATGCACATGTGGTAAGTGGCAAATGGAAAGATTTCCATGTTCGCATGATATTGCAGTTTGCGGTTATAGAGGGGATAACCCTATTTCTATTGTTAATACTGTGTACACTACTATGACATATAAACAACAATATACGTCGGCTTTTGTCCCACTTTCTCATGTTGATTATTGGTTAGAGTCGGATTGGAAGATTAAAGCAGATAACTCGAAACTTTCTGTGCATAGAGGCCGGAGGCGTGCAAATCGATTTCATAACGAGATGGACATTCGTCATCCCGACGAACCTCGCAAATGTAGACTATGTCACCAAACTGGTCATAATAGAAGAAATTGTCCAAATTTCCAGCCAAGATTCAATGCGATGTGAACTTTGTAACATTTTCAATTAATGTTTAAGTTACCGTTTAACTTGTATTGTAATTTTACGCTTAATTCGTATTGTAATATTGTTTTTAATTGTTCTTGTAATTTCGTACTGTTGTAATATATTCAATATTGATATCTATTTGAAGGTCTTTATAAACTCTATTTAAAGATATAATTTGTAAATAATAATACATAAGATATAATCATATATTATAGAATAAAGTAATCTATGTATAATATTTAACAAGGATAAAAAATGGATTGTTCAAATGTAAAAAATATAAATAAATAAAGATTAAAGTTGGGCCCTTATTCAAACCAACCTATTTCTACAATACAATCTAAAACTAACCTATTTCTACAATAGCTTTTGAAAACCAACCTCCTTTTACAAAAAAAACTCTTTGAAATGTATATTTTCACGATGTATTCGATCGGGTTAATTTCCATTTTAGACAGTCTCGGTTAATGTTGCGGCCGGGTTTGACCATATTACGTTGTCTTAGTATGAATTGATATAATCATTCAAAGAAGGAAGTTGCAGTTTTCTTATAGTAATCTCGAGACACTAACTTATCAAAAAATATAATAATAAAATAATCCATTTTCTATGATCTTTTGGGCCTGTGAAGTATGCATGGATAACGTGGATTTCAAACAAGCGCAGCCAATAAAAATATGATTAAACTCTCAAAAGGTCGTAGCCGCATGTGCACATTAAACCGTCCAATCAACACTAATCCCGATAACCCTTTTAAGCACCTTCTGTTCCCATGAACAGCTTGCTTTCACAGCAATCGAATACCATTAAGTTTTTATATTATTCATAAATTAAAAAGTATTTTATCTACATATTTACGGGTCAATTTTCTTTTTTGCTAAAATGTATATAAGATTATACATTTAATTATCTATAACGAAAAGAGTTGCAGAGGCGTTTCCACTGTGCGCGTAGATGTAGGATTCAAAGTACATGCTCATCGCCATTACTAGTGCTTGGTCCAGATACCTGTGGCTTGTTATCTACGTCAGCTTTAGGCTGCTCCGCCGCCGTCGTCACCGGCCGTCAACTTTCTAACTCTATATAAATAATTCACACTCCTTCCACAATGATTGATGATATCACCCTACTAAAAAATAACTCAACCGCAAAGCACCAACTCAAGTCTGTGCCAAATTAAGTAGTTGGCTGTTCTGTGTTAATCATGTCATCATCAAACGGTGGTGTTCCGCCGGGGTTCCGGTTTCACCCCACTGATGAAGAGCTTCTTCATTACTACTTGAAGAAGAAGATTTCATTTGAAAAGTTTGACATGGATGTCATTAGGGAAGTCGACTTGAACAAGATTGAGCCATGGGACCTCCAAGGTGAACTCTTCTTCTTTTTGTCTTTTCTTGATTTTGATGGTGTTCATGTAACTTAATAAATCTTGTATTTGAAATTTCCACAGAGAGATGCAAGATAGGTTCATCACCGGAAAACGAGTGGTACTTCTTCAGCCACAAGGATAAAAAGTATCCGACAGGGTCGAGGACAAATAGAGCAACAAATGCTGGATTCTGGAAGGCAACTGGACGAGACAAATGTATCCGTAACACCTTCAAGAAGATTGGTATGAGGAAGACCCTAGTTTTCTATCGAGGCCGAGCTCCCCATGGGCAAAAGACTGATTGGATCATGCACGAGTATCGCCTTGAAGATACTGATGATCATCATGAACCCCTCAATTCCATTCCAACTTCTTCACCTGTAAGTTGAATCTATCTTCCTCTTGTTACCGGTGGTTTATTAGGAAACATGATATTTAGAAACTTCTGAGTAGATATAAATTTTCATTTACTTATACTTGTTGTATTTTAACAGGAAGATGGGTGGGTGATTTGTCGTGTTTTCAAAAAGAGAAACTTATTCAAGGTTGGTGCAAACGAAGCATCGAGTGGTAGTATCGGGTCAGAACGACTCAACAACAACCAGTTTCAACCTCGTTCTTTACCATACGCTCAGGACAATAATCATTTTTTGCAATATCAACAAACACATCAACAACAACAAAACTTCGACTTAGGCCTCAACTACAATCATCAACACCCTCACCTTATCCCTACCCACAAGCCTCTTGGATATGGTTTCTTGAATTTACCCTCAGAAGATTCTCCACTTATGGTTAGACAACTTATGACAAACCCTAGAGAATGCGATAGTGGAAGCTGTGAGAACCAGCTCGATGTAGGGTACCAAGCTTGTGAGCCTGGTCTAGAGGTTGACACCTGTGAACAGGTTCAAATCATGGTTAATACGAATGTAAGAGAAGAGACAGTAAACGGATGGGGAATGGTTGATAGGCTTGTAACTTCGCATATTGGTCAACCTAACGAGGATGTCAATTCGACGAAAGGGATGTTGAGGTATCGAGATGATACATCGTCGTCTCTATCTATGCAACATGTCAACCAACTCTCATTGCGAGGAGAGATGGACTTTTGGGGATATGAAAAGTAGCTCCATGAGAATGTGCTATGTTGATTTTATTCAAAACAATTACATTTATATTGAACAAAGGATGGTTTGGAGCGAAGATGGCTCTTAACCATTGAAACTACCAATTGTTTGATTATTACTTTATGTATTTAATCTTCATTTCATATGATTTTACATAATTTTGTCAAAGTATATTTAATTTTAGTTTAATGTATAAGTATTTTTGTGGTTCAATTAAACGAATTTTAAGTTGTATATTGAGTTAAGGTCATCCACAATATTTGTACATATTAAACATCTAAACACAAAATCAAACACATGCATTATATCCAAAATCAATAAAATGGGAGGTATAGATATCTACCTTTAATAAAATCAAAAAAATGGAAAAACCACCTAAAATCAGATACCACAACAACTTAAGGTGAGTTGTAACAACTTTACAGCCGGCGTCTCTTTGGTGGTGGCTGGTAGGCATCGGAAAAAACCACCCAAAATGAGAAAAAAAAAAACAATAAATCATAAGCAAGAAGAGAAGAAAATAGGGACCTTGAAGCTTACCTCCGATGTAGGCCCGGCTTCCAAGCCGACGGTGTAGGTTTGTGAAGAGAGAGAGAGAGAGAGAGAGAGAGAGGGAGGTTGTGGTGATATGTAATGAGATATGTAACTTGATCTTGAAGGTATGACCCTATACCGACGACATGTCGTCAATATACAGTTAAGTAACACGACGTTGTTTCCTTTTTGTGATAAATCAAAAAAAATTGTGCCATATACCGACGACATGTTATTGGTATAGAGGACCACAAAATCGATGCTCCTCTATTTCGACGACATGTCGTCACGATAGCCTTAAACCATCGTTTCCCATTTCTTGAAACATTACTATATATATATATATATATATATATATATATATATATATATATATATATATATATATATATATATATATATATATATATATATATATATAGTTTTCAAACATATACAACCAATAACTCGTCGGCATAATTTTCATAAAACCGCGTAAAACACTTTATTTTCCTGCCTTACCTATTGCGACCACAAGTCGTCGGTGTAGACGTTTTAGTCAAATATGTCTAGTTAATCCTGTACCGACGACATGGCGACGATATAACTCGATTTGTAGTGGCGACACATGTCTTCGGTATAGGGGTCATCGCTATAAGGAGTTATTCTTGTAGTGGTTGCATTGAACTATATAGAGTTTAATGGATTGTCATATTATCATTCTATAAATCATACAAGTTTATCAATTTTTTTCTAATAATGCATTGAACTCTATAAAATTTAATAAAACATATTTAAATATTTATTTAAGTATTATAAAACTTTTTTTTTTCCATTAAAAAGTTTAATGTCCATTGGACTCACACCTTGAATCATAGAATTTCATCCATGACAATTAGATTACCATCTCATACAACTATTTCATTGAACTCTTCATTATGAATACTTTTAATGGCGAATTCAATATTCAAACTTAACGAGTGTCCAAACTAATTGAGGTGATTGAATTAACATGTCAAAAAAAGTTTTATTATAGGTTCGGAGCAAGTTGTTATTCTTAAAAGTTTTTGTTTTTTTTTTTTTGTTTTTTTTTTGTCATCTTTCATAACGTTCTTATAATTTTTTAATTGAACAGAATAAGAACTCAAGATGTATTATGATATCCATACAAAAGTTTTTTTTGTTTGTTAAGCTGCGATGATATATTATATATTGATTTGGTTTAATTCAAAAATCATAATTATATGTATCTAATAATAATAAAGATGTTTATCTATAAATTTTAATGGTACCCATTGAAAATTTTAATATAAATGTCTAAAAAATCTTCTAATTCAAGGGGTGTCAGCTAGTGATCACCAATATTCTTTTATTCTCTCATTTGTCTCTTTTTGCTAATTAGCAAAGGTCATACATATCAAGGTCACTCTTTTTGGTTCTCTTGGTATATTCATACTTGAGAAAGTAATTTTTAGTCGTTTGTTAAAATCTTTGGTTTGCATCTAACTATATAGATATAGAACTAGTCGAATACCCGCATATTGGGCAAAAAGAAAATTATATTGTCAAAAATATAGACATTTAAGATATTAAATATAACTAATATGGAAAAATACATGTTTATTAGAAGGTTTAACATTTAAGACTTATATTATAATATTTATATTCAATAGTAGAATTTTGATTGTCTTGATCCGAAGGTTGCACATAACTAAGGTTTTTGAATAGAATTTTTATTTAATATTGTTTTAAGTATTTTTAACTCAATTAATTTAAAAACTACTTATTTGTTTATTTATTCAATTTATTCAACCATATTAATTTGAAAACCCCACAAACTTTTCATCTTATAATATTCAATGGATTGGTTGATTAAAATATTTTTAATACATAAATCTTCCAACTGTTTATCTTATGTAAATTAATTTATTAGTTAATCAAAATATATAAATTTAGAATGACCAAATCGCTTTTTTTACTATTACATATAAACACTTTTTTATAAAGTATGTTAGTACAATCCACGAAAAAAAATCAAATGCTAGAAAAATGAACATAACATATTTTTTTATATTGGTGGTGCTTATTATCAAACAAATTGTAAAAAAAGTTAAAAATATATCGTCCTTTTCTTTTGGCTCTAAATGTACAACCATAAACATTTGGGATAATGACTTAGGAGGGTAATAACGTTTCCCGTTTGTCCATATTAGGTCCCTAACGTATTTTTTGTGTGTATTACACCATTAAGGTTGTTATAACCGTTTAGAAATAATCCCTTTTACCGGTTTCTTCATGTTAAAAGGACTATTTTGTAAACGGTTAGAATAACCTTAATGGTGTAATACGCACAAAAAATACATATGGACCTAAAATTGACAAACAGGAAACGTTATTACCCTCCTATGATTTTTAGTATTTATTATTTTGAATATATATTTTTAAGATTTTTAGTATTTATTTTTATATGTGCATTTCATATAAAGTTGTTGAAATTAAAAAGAATAAAAAGTAGAAAAGTTTGGATTGGATTGGATTGGATTTTGTAACCACATCATCATGAACACCATGAACACTGACAAAACAATCGGGCGTTCCATATGAACCGTCGGTCTAGAATCTACCCAATCCATCACATCACGGATAGATGAAAACACAGGAAGGGACAAAACGGTTCCACCTAGTAGGCATACTACCCATAGGAAGCGTCATATCATTAACCCAATTCCGTGCTGATTTAACAGTAAAGATATCCGACGATTCAAGCTCCCAAGACCACTTATCCGACATTTCCCCTATGCGAATAGGATTTAATATCTCCACAAGATAATCAAATTGGGTCGATTCAGCCCCTCCTCTAATCCCCCAACGCTAATGAAAATTCCATCCCCCCGAATCTCATTATTCACTTACTCGAGCATCTTGATTAAAGGCCAAAGCAAAGAGCCTCCCGAACCGCTCCCTAAGAGGAATATCCAAGCACCAAACATCCTTCTAGAACCTCGTTTGAGTGCCATCCCCCACCACTTTATACATGGAATTAGAAGGAATACAACCATTCTCATGGATATGATTAATGGATCCTACAATCTTTTGCCAAACACCCCCTCCAGTTCTTATTCTGTCGTCCAAAAAACCACCACCTTCCCCATGACAAAATTTGACAATTTTAACCCAAAGAGCTCCCTTGTCATTAAGAAACCGCCACTTCCATTTATAAAGAAGGCTGAGGTTAAAAGCATCCAAACTACAAGTTTCTTATTTAAAAAGTAAAAATTTACTATATGGGTTTATAGTTTCATACAGAGATAATGACTTAGGAGGGTAATAACGTTTCTCGTTTGTCCATATTAGGTCCCTAACGTATTTTTTGTGTGTATTACACCATTAAGGTTGTTATAACCGTTTAGAAATAATCCCTTTTACCGGTTTCTTCCTGTTAAAAGGACTATTTGTAAACGGTTATAATAACCTTAATGGTGTAATACGCACAAAAAATACGGTAGGGACCTAAAATGGACAAACAGGAAACGTTATTACCTTCTTAAGTCATTATCCCTAAACATTTATGTGAAATTTAATGAAAGTATATAGGAAAATAAAGTGGAAATAATAAAGAAAAATACAACATTATATATGGATATTAATAGCGGAGGGTTACATATAAATAAGGTACACACTTACATATACACTATGTTAAATCATTTGAAGTCATCTTTTATTTTATAACTCCCTCTGTGTTTACCTTCTTTTTTATTTTCATGGACTCTAGATAACAAAAATAAAAGGAGAAAAAATCAAGTGTAAGCAACCTAACATGAAAATAATGTTCTTATATATGCAAAATATTATGATAATTAATGAATTAATTAGAATAAGAAAAATGACACATATAGCCCACAAGCTTTCTAGGGTTGACCCGTTTAGTCACTTAAGTTTTTTCGTGGCTTTATGAGGGAATAAAGTTGTGGACAACCTGTCTTTTTAGTCACCTTTACTTATTTTTAGCCGGTTTTGGTGACACATGGACAAAACTTAGGGCCCACCCTTATCTCTCTCACACACAGATACACTCTCTCTACAGTCGTTCAAGAATAGATATCCACTTCCCTTTGTTCTTCCTCGGGTTATTTTCATAAAAGACCCTATATTTTGATTTTTTTTCTTTTTAGACCTAAAACTTTTTTCTTTTCCGAAAAAGACCTAACTTTTAGCTTTGACTTGTTATTTTAGACCCTAACAAGTAAATTAAGTATTTTTATTTCATAAAAGACCCTATATTTTATACTTTTTTCCAATCTAGACCTAAAATGTTTTTTATTTCAAGACTAATTGTATAAAAACATGATTATATCCTTTTAGTTTAAAAATAGACATCGATTTAAACAATGTAATTATTATGCCTACATTTATTTATGATTGGAAAATTCTTTTTCCACGTATATTTATAAAAAAAAGACCCTATATTTTGTTACTTTTTTCCATTTTAGACCTAAAATGTTTTTTTTTCAAAATAAATTCAACTTTAAAATTGGTTATAATCTTCAAGACCAAATATATAAGGTACTTCTTGACTATACTGA